TCTAATAAGCGCCGGAGGTAAAGCAGCTGTTTAAGAAATAAGCGCCGGGCCTCTAATAAGCGCCGGAGGTAAAGCAGCTGTTTAAGAAATAAGCGCCGGGCCTCTAATAAGCGCCGGAGGTAAAGCAGCTGTTTAAGAAACAAGCGCCGGGCCTCTAATAAGCGCCGGGGTAAAGCAGCTGTTTTAAGAAATAAGCGCCGGGCCTCTAATAAGCGCCGGAGGTAAAGCAGCTGTTTAAGAAATAAGCGCCGGGCCTCTAATAAGCGCCGGAGGTAAAGCAGCTGTTTAAGAAATAAGCGCCGGGCCTCTAATAAGCGCCGGAGGTAAAGCAGCTGTTTAAGAAATAAGCGCCGGGCCTCTAATAAGCGCCGGAGGTAAAGCAGCTGTTTAAGAAATAAAGCGCCGGGCCTCTAATAAGCGCCGGAGGTAAAGCAGCTGTTTAAGAAATAAGCGCCGGGCCTCTAATAAGCGCCGGAGGTAAAGCAGCTGTTTAAGAAATAAGCGCCGGGCCTCTAATAATAAGCGCCGGAGGTAAAGCAGCTGTTTAAGAAACAAGCGCCGGGCCTCTAATAAGCGCCGGAGGTAAAGCAGCTGTTTAAGAAATAAGCGCCGGGCCTCTAATAAGCGCCGGAGGTAAAGCAGCTGTTTAAGAAACAAGCGCCGGGCCTCTAATAAGCGGCGGAGGTAAAGCAGCTGTTTAAGAAATAAACCCCGGGCCTCTAACAAGCGCCGGAGGTAAAGCAGCTGTTTAAGAAATAAACGCCGGGCCTCTAATAAGCGCAGGGCACGTGCTTTTTTAACAAATGCATTCTCCCTTGATCCAAAAATAGATTTATTAAGGAATGGTCCCTTTAGTCCCCGTCGCTAATTTTGACGTAACGCTAACAATTATTTACACCCAGTGAGCACAATAAGCACCGGACCTCCAATAAGCACCGGGTCTGGAAGTCCGTTGGAAAAATAAGCTCCCGCACGCTTATTAGAGGAGATACGGTAACTGAAATAACGTTCAAATCGGAGTCAAACCCAACTCACTCACTCAACAAATACGACCACTCACCTACATATCACTTCACCCCCTCCCTAAACTCCGGGGCGACGTTACAACACCAATCACAGTTAACTCCACGGCCGATTTCAACAGAATTACTCCATGTAGTTTTAAGCCCCACGTCCTCACAGCGTGGACGTCGCCAGTTCCGATGTTGATACCCATGTAATCTCCACATTATTCCAAAATCGATACGCTGCTGAAAATACCCACCTACTCGACCTAAGTATAACCGCTAAGAGTCTGAAACGTTTTACATGTAATGAAATCGCAAGGACATTTCAACAATCTTCGCCCATTCCTGTTTATGGGTGTAGATACCTCTTGACGTAGGAGGCATTCTTACCTGAAGAATATAAGATACGCATCCCTGTTGCGTGGTTGGAGTAAAGTGATGCCCGTTATGTTTGTACAAGCCACTGGTTCAACAGCGCCAGTTTTTTATCCATGCCACGCGTTGTAGATCCATCGCTTCTCCAAGACATAGTTTAACGAAAAGGAAATTGAAAATTTTCATTAAAGAGAAGAATCAATAGACGAGCCATTAGGTGGTTGAAATGATGTAACGAAAGGTTTGAATGCTTTAAACGTTTAAATACGTTTACTACTAATAAGTGTGTGAGTTCAGGTTTACGCCGCTTTTAGCAATATTCCAGCAATATCACGGCGGAGGGCTTCACACCGTACCCGTGTGGGGAATCGAACCCGGGCCTTCGGCGTGACAAGCGAACGCCATGCGACTATTAACCACTGTGCTACCCCACCACCCCTTACTATTAATGATGCTTGTATATATATAGCATCTTCGTTGTTGCTATGTTGCTATGTATAGAGGACTAATATATCAGTTCTGATGCGTGGTGCCTGTTTTATATCCAAATCGCTGCAGCATATAACACGTATGTATATTCAGTGGTTAAATGTATATTACTGTCAGTGTCACCTTCAATGGTTTTTTCAGCAAGAGTTTTTATGTTAAGAAATTCATTCGATTTATATCCATTCCGTGGCGTACTGTCAACCGAGGTTCTGGGCATGAATGCTGCTACTGTGTACGTGGAGTCTTGAGATGGTTTTTCTATGGTTTTTGTCGCAATATACTATCGCTATCGCAATAGTTGTTTCCCCCTCAATAGTCACCCCCAGTGGCAGCCACGGGAATCCCTGACCACTGGAGTGAGGAATACAGATTGCATCTTGACTCCTCCGAGTTTCTAAAACTTGCATTCAGCCCATCTTTGAAACATTGTCCATGTGGCGTTTCTCCATTGGCAGAACACTTTCTGTTCACACAGTACTGAACGGTGTGGTGATGGCAGTCTGACGGTAAACCTTCAAGAGTCTCACGCAACAGCTTCATATGTATGCTCTCCAGAAGTATGTGTGCACACTGACACAAGACTGGGCTGATAATAATGCAGCGCCATGCGCATCCATTGTGATCAAGGAGCATGTTCAATATCCACCATATTATTTTTCTCCATCCTATTGCTATCAAGTAGAGTTACATTCGCCGCTGTATCCCTGGTCCTGCCTCTGTATCTGTGATGCTAGACACATCTTCCACACATACAGTACACGCAGACATACAAAGATACACACTCGTACACAATATAGGTACAAATAGCAAACTGTGTCAATATATGAACACATGGCAAATATTTAATTCTTTTCGTATCATTTGTCAAACGTTAAATGTGCTTGTATTGTAAATATTGGTTCAAGGGACCTTTGGTGTAGGTATTTACTATAATCAATAATATCCAACAATGTGTTATTTCCAGTGAGCCAGTATGTGTGTTCCTATCGCCGCTTATAGACATTTTCCAACAATAACACAGTTTGACAGTCGAATTGGGCTTTAGACGTTGAATATGTGAGAAATCGAACCCGGACGTTTGTCGAGACAAGCAAGCGCTTTAACCACTTTCCTAATCTACAGTTATATGCAAGGTTTTTCGGGTTGCAGGGATGGTGGGTAGCCTAGTGGTTAATTCGTTCGCTCGTCACGCTAAAGACCCGGGTTCGATTCCCCACATGGGTACAATGTATGAAGCCCAAATCCGGTGTCCCCCGCCGTGATATTGCTGGAATATTGCTAAAAGCGGCTTAAAACTGAACTCATTCAATCTTGCTTACATGTTCTTAAAATCACTGAAATAGTATAACGTGTAAGTAGAGTGGTTGAGTATATAATGTTCAGAGCCGGTTCAGCAATAGGTCTCTTATTCACCTCTTGTACTGATATGTACTGTCCATGTGTAAAAAAAAAGGGGTAGACTATTTATCTTATGCATACTGGTAGTCTTAAAGTTATAAGACCAGGGCCTCCTTTCACAAAGCACTAAGGTGATCGTAAGTCACTATGGTAACCTTAGTGCAGTGTTAAAGAATGGGAGTTAAGGTTAACCTTAGTAAAGGTTGCTTAGATTTGCTAAAGAGTGATTATGACGTATTCAGACTACAATACGGATGGCCGGGTCTCAGGCGCGTCAATTCACTGTGGAGAGTTATGTCCCTTGGACACGCCAGTAACCTATGATCTCGTGCTCGAATCCCGGTTCGACCCCACTTTGGTTCTAGGTTTGTCAGCACCATATCCCTGCCCGTTAGTTGCATCAAAGGGGAAAGAGTGTAAGATTTCATCCCTTTAGGCTTTGTCCCATCATATGACGAAAATACCGTTAAACGTTTGAGACGAGCTTTCAGGCTTTAATCCCACAGAAAAGCCGACACGCCATGGTATGGAGAGTGTGAGTGAGTTGGGTTTTACGCCCATATAATATTCCAGTAATATCACGACGGGGAACGCCAGAAATGGGCTTCACACATTGTACCCATGTGCGTACTCGAACCCGGGCTTTCGGCGTGACGAGCAATCGCTTTAACCACTAGGCTACCCTACCGCTCCCGTCATGGTATAAATTGAAAGCTCGTCAAAGCGGCGTAAAAAACATTTCACTCACTCAAGTAGGCGGCAATGGCAACAAATACGAGACCGATAGGATCCGTTGCCTCTCATTTATCTGAAATGATTACTAGTCTGCATGGTCCTTGTTTTCTTTTTGCATAGGAGCTGCTTATTGCGGATGCAGTAGTCATTAATTCAACGCTGAACATCCATCCTCATTCATTGATGCGTGTCATCAATCTTGTGGTCACCAGGATGTACGTGTGGGTGGAACGTAAGCCAGGGTTCATCTATGCTGAAACTGACAATTAGGTTAGCACTCAAAGAACTTTGTGGTTGGGGCAAGACGACTTACTGAAGATGGCAGGGCCACACCTCATATATTTTGGTTCATAATTGGTTCCAAATACGCCTTGCGTGAGGAAAAAGCATCAATTATGATCACGTGATGACGCTGTGTGACGTTCCTGACAGCGTTGGGTTGGTTGGTTTGTTGTTTAATATCCCAGCTATATGGCGGCGGATTGTAAATAATCGAGTCTGGACCAGACAAGCCAGTGATCAACAGCATGAGCATCGATTTACGCAATTGGGATACGATGACATGTATCAACCAAGTCAGCGAGCCTGACCACCCAATCCCATTAGTCGTCTTTTACGACAAGCATGGGTTACTGAAGACCAATACTAACCCGGATCTTCACGGGTTGCTGAAGACCATTTCTATCCCGGATCTTCACGGGTACCTGACAGTATGTCCTCGTACCCAGTGTGTGCCTTTGGTCAGGATACTGACCACTAACGAGCATGCACTTGGTTATAAACAGACGATCTGTGATATACCCAGAATACCGCTCCCTCCAAACTTCCTTATAAATCCTAGATCGTGACGAACATAATCAAATCCCAGTGTTCTGTAATTCTATTTCCACTGAAACAAAGAACTTTTTAAGGGCGGCAAACAAATGATATAGACAACAAATGAGATAACAAAAGCGGAAACATCTTACGATTCACGCGGCATAGAGACATTTTATCTCTTTAATGCAATATTGTTAAGTCGAAAAACGGATCTCCATTTTTTAACTTGTACATGAAAACAATTCTGTCAGACACCTCATCTTCAAACGATTCAATAAATGTGCATACTTTCGTCCCAGACAGCTCAGACACTTGAGAAAACTTTCATTTTCTCCAAATAAAAAACCCTCTTTATCTTCGCTGACAGTTTATTGAGGTAAATGTTTCTTGCTGACGGTGATTGCATTGTGGCCCCATTACAGGACATCCGAAGTGTCTGGCAGAAAAGTTGGACAAATAAAGATTAAACAACCAATAAATAAAAACTGGAAAGTGACGTGCCTGTGGATGAATATGGGTGTATTTAATTAACGTTACAGTGATGCAATTACGTTCATGGATTTGCCGTTGGTGAGGAGAAAAACCCGAGAAAGTTTCAATTTGAAATTTGCAAATACGTTTTCTAGCAGAGGGAATATGTCACAAGGCATCGGCAAGGCAATAAATGTCGCCCCAAGATGGCGTAAAGTTGATGATCCGTCCCGATTTGATTAAAGTCAACTCAATTCACGCCAGTTTATTGAGAAGCAGATTCCATTGCCGATAGTACCATACTATACTGAAGGCCGGGTCCATTCATTCAGCCGGGTGATGCAGGCTGTATAATCGATCAGACAGACATTGGTTATAAAGGCTTGGCCGGTATCATGGAGCTGGTCATTCGATATAAGACTTTGGCCGAGGGAAGATGCTAGTTGGGAGATTCCACTGAGCCAGTAGGTTGGTTAACTAATAATTGATTGGGTTGTGCCACTGTGGAAATCTTGAGGGAAGATAGATTATTGATTTTGGTTGGAGTAAGCGTCTTCTATCCTCAAGACTGTATGGCTAGCTGATGGAGAGCGCGAGACAAGGACGGGGAACGTGGTCGAAGGACCAGTCTGAATCAATCTGTTGGGCCACGGCGACGGGTCCACTGCTGTTTGAGAGAGTACTGTGGATGTGAGCATGGTCATGAGCCACGAGCCGTCCGCTGTAGCGAGTCGATTCCAGTCCCCGTAAACTCTATTACAGTCAGATAGCCAGAACTGAAAACCTCGATGTAGAGGTGCGATTACGTTGTGCGCGTGGCTTGCTCGTGACAAGCAGACGACCGTTTGTGTATCGCACAGTACAGAACCCAGCTGGCCAACAGACGTAACTGGTGCTTATTAGGTAAGTATCAGCACTGTAGATATCTATTTTGCAACATTTTCACAGAGTTTTACCGGTATTCATGAAACGGAAGTCGTCTGCGCTGGGTCTAGCAGACGACAACGTGATGGTGGGAGACGGGTTGGTGAAATGAATGGCATCGCTCCTTTTATCCATTTAAAACCAAAGAAATCGTGTCACAGTGTGTCTCCGAAACGTGTGAATTGCTTGCCTGAGATGACCACGGGCATTGAACGTCTCACAGAGCACTGGCTCCAAAAGCTGGCGATAATGCGACTTCCTGAGTTCATTAGTGCACAAACCGATCATGCGAATACGTAATGCGATGTGATATCGCTAGGTGTTTTCTCCTCCTCTGTGACACTATAAATACAAACACTGATCCACGCAGACAATCCCGCCAACCGTGAATACCCCATCCCAATAACTGTTACAATAGATAGTACCATTATCCCCTACCATAGGCAAGGTGGTCCAGACTCACGGCCTATGTTGATGTCAACACAGCTTAGTTAATAGGTACATAACCCCGGTTTATTTGCCTGTGCTCGTGTTCAGATTATTGATTCGCCGCGTTTGGAATTACATCAGGATCCATGTGGATTTAGTAGCGCCACATTCAATCAAACACATGTGTTGGGTGCAATGAATCCATCTAGGATAGAATAAACGCTACAATAGACTAGTTTCCATACGGCCAGGTTCTCGTAGAGCGAAGGATGGGGCATTGTGGCTGTGTGTGTTCTTCCGGCTTGGCTGACTACTCTTTTGGAACGAGTTTTCAGTTCATTCTCCTTTTTAAGGTTAAAAGGATATAACTAGCTCCATGGAAGAACGACTTAAAAGCATCATGTAACAGTCTCGGCAGAGGAAGCCACGTCAATGGTTGAGCTGAGGCACTGCTGTGACATGACTCCTTATGCATCCTAATGGGTTTCTCTGATAATGGCTTACATTTGTATTATTACTTCTATGTTGGTTCAGCCTGTGTCACAAAACCATTTCACAGAACATAGACATGCGATATCACGTATCACGGGAGTGTTCTCGTTGAAATCTTGCATCTTTTTAGAGCTGTGTCGCAAACCATTTGAGGATTCTAGAGATATGTTATCAAGTGAAACAAATGCAAATTCCGAAACCTCTTTCAAGGGTTTTTGCACACCAGTTTGTAGAACTATACTGATACGTTTTGTGGTATAATTTTCATGTTATTTATAGACTTATTTTAAGCTGCGTTACTATCTATTTTACAGATGTATACTGATATGTTATCAAGTATGCATGTTGTCTATAAACCAGGTATTTTCTTTCAAGCTGTGTTACAAACCATTTTAATATACAAATGTGTCATATAAAATACTATGCACGTTCTCTTTAAACAATTTATCTTCATTTCTTACAAACGTTTATATACTAATGATTTTACCAGGCTTAAGTACGTGATGAAAAACATCAACACCTTCATATACATGTAAACTCAGTAAAACACTTGCATATATTGCGTGTTTGGGAAACAGGAACAATTCACCTAATGCATTTGGTGTGTCTACAATTGAATTGATAAAGTAATACGGTAAAACGGTAAATCTCCCAAAATAATGGTACCAAGTGTTCGCGAATAGGCGAGCGTGTCGTGCCTCACCCGTGGCACCATCACAAACACATGCAAAGGCAGATCAACTATTCCCCAAGAAAATCACTGGAAATTCCGATGCAAGTCTAAATAGGCTTTTTCAAGAACAAAAACTCTAGGATAGCCATACAGTAATTTCATCAATTATCTTCATGTATATCAAACGAGCAAAACACATGCCACCGACTAATGAAATATTCCAATTCCTTTCCCAATTCCACCTTCACGAACGCTACTTCAGCTGTGATACTCTGTCACACGCATGGTACCCATAGTGCTTTGTGACAGGACAATAGCTTCATCACTAATAAACCAAGGATGCAGCTGCCCATTAGCCCAGGTACATTTATCAGACCAACGTCAGATTATAATCACTGGCAATATCGTGTCTCCTGTTGGTTTCGGTGTTTCAGCTTCAACAGCAATATATCATCACATTGTTGTGCTGTTATCCCACTTTTACCAATTCCCGCTCGTCATTTATAAAGTTCTTTGTCATTGTGTTTTAATGAACTTTTGGATTTGTTATTAATTAAAGCTTCCAATTCCCCTGGAATGTATTACATGGGGAAATGGCAAGCGGTTTTGTCGTGCGATGTAAAGTGTGTTACAGTTGGTGTTTTGCAGTAAGATTGTACTTCTCGGTGATGATACGAACGGATCGAACTTCATTGTTACATAAGAAATATATATAAACATTTGCTGTGTACTTATTTAGAAACTGTATATACATATGTACCTAAGTACAATTTCAGATTTTTTTTAGCTATGGCAAAGTGGGGTTGTTTAGTTTATGGATTCAAATATATCAAATGTGTGTTTTTGATATCATAGCATACGTAATAGACATCATATTTTTACATGAGTGAATATCGAGGTAAAAAACACAGAAATAGGATCAAATTGTATCAGTCACTATACCATCCAAACATTTGTAAATCTGAAAATGCCTACACTGCTGGGATACTTTATTACAATCAAACAAGAACTACCGGGGATATTTTCAAATAACGGCATCTGATGGGCATTCACCCTTCCTAATGTCCCACTGATTAGGTTGAAGAAATTCTGCCAAGGTGGACAGTAGCCAAGTCCCCGTGTCCTGCACGGTCGATGGAGCAGGGTCTGACCTGTTTGCAGCTAGGTTTCGTAATTAGACCGTTGGCTGGAAACATTAATCGCTCTGCATCAGTGGCCCTTTAACCGTTGTGATATGAAATAAACTACAACATGTAGCTAAGTAATCATAGAAAAAGAGATAATATACTACTCACACTTTGCTAAAGATCACAAATCTTCCCAACTTTACTTAAAGATAGATTTATAATTTGAAATGGTATCCCTTTAAAACTGGATAAATAATAATATGGTAATCCCTCTGTAGGCAAACAGCCACTTTACTCTAACCTTTTGCACTTGATGTATGAGTAACCATAAAAATGGTTTTCATGCCACCTATAAACCATTTTGCACATCATGGAACGAGTCATTGACAAGTTCACAACACCTGTCAATAGCAGGTATGGGATCCACAAAATGCAGTGACATACTGAAACCTAGGATCCATGCATACAATAAGCTTAGACATTTAAACCAACTTAGACCTCACATCATAGTTTTCTGTTGACTCCATGATTTGATCCTTAGCAAAGTGTGAATAGTATACATATAGAACCTGTTTGTTGACCACTTGCCCGATCTGTAAGCATGTGTAATCTTACTGCTACTTAACTGATTCAATAACGACGATAGTGGGGCGGAAATGGATGTCGGTTTTACTTTAGAACAGTGTCAGTTAATAATTGTGATACAGTTCCAAACTGTGGACTTACTGGACGTAAAGGTGTAAAGATAGTTAGTGAGTTTGGTTTTGCGCCGCTTTTAGCAATTGTCCAACAACATCACGGCGGAGGACTCCAGAAATGGGCTTCACACATTGTAACCATGTGGGAATCGAACCCGGCGTGACGAGCGAACGCTTTAACCATTAGGCTACCCAGCCGCCCCTAAGACTGAAGAAGTGAATAGGTGTTTAAGGCTGTTCTTATTAACCAGCCACGTGGGTTTGTGCGTGTGCGGGTTCGTGTGTGTGTGTGTGTGTTACTCCGAACCGACCGGACCATATTTGAACCTCTTTAGTGCCGAGCGCCAATCAGGTTCACAACAAATACCAATCATTAAATTTTAGTATGACTTGGTCGGGGATCGAACCCCAATAGATCACCACCCTCCGGGAATACCCTCTATCCACTAGACCCCGATGGTAGGCCAGTCGACTGACGTGGTAGCGCCGTAGAGCTCCACATAGAGGAATACCAAAGTTCAGAATACGGTATTGTTATCAAAACTTGAACAGCTCGCTGCACGCTATTAACTAAGTAAGAATAGCACAGCACCATACAACAGTTCTAACAGACTTGCAAAATAACATAGCGTTGATGAGGAGCGTATTAAGAGCGTGTAACCTTTACATGTACTGCCAGTGCATCATCCTTCAACATATCAAGGAACAGTGCTTGGGTACGGTCTTCCACAACACAATGGAACAACATCCACTGTGTTTGGAGCATCCTTACAGCAGCAGGGCGTAGAAGAAGTCAAACACGATGAGAAAAAGATCAATGCAGCCAACAGTGATATCAAAGTTTCAGGACCAGATTTAGCTCCGTATTGTCGAACAACTTAAAAAAAGTTTGTACTCATTATAGACATGATATATATAAAATCATAATCGATTTTTGAGTGGATGTAACGGTATTTTGAGATGTCTGTGCTGTGTCTAATGTTAAATTGCAACCAATCTCAGTGTTAGTAGACAAGTGTGATCTCGGGATAAAATGATAGAAAACACCATTGAGAGGATGTGACATTTTCCAAGTGCCCAGACGACGGTTTTACGGATGCTGGGCTTAAAGAGTAAAGAGACGTCCAAAGAGCCAGAACATACCGTTAATCGGAAACGATCTTCACACGCACTGCGTGGCATTGGGGAAATGTGAAAGAAAATACCAGTCTGGATTTTTTAATCCTTATTTTTGAAAATACTAAGGTATCGGGATTTATGTACTGTCCACACATAGAAGTGTTTGTATTTTAGTTTTGAATGGTTTGTTAGGGAGTCAATTTATATAGCGTCTATGCGTGGTTGTCTGAACCGCGTTGGCCTGAAATAGGGGACTTGGGTATTCTGAAGGTACAGAGAAATTGCATTTAAATTTCCTTAAGCTTGCCCCCGGACTAACTCTTTAAAACACAACTTCTTGGTGTATGGTAAACTGGGGACAGAACCTCTTCATATCCAAATATGAAAGAGAATGACCAAGATCTAGCTTTATGTTGCAATAGGAGGTAACACGAAAGAAAG